AAAAAAAAAAAAAAAAATCACTGTGAGTGAGCGAGCAGGCCAGCCTGAACCTGCTGGGTTCTCAGAGGTCTCGGGCTCCCTGGGCTCCCTAGTACCTTCAGCTCCGCGCACACAGTGGCCCTGCAGTAGTGGATGAAGTCCAGCACTGCCACAGCCCCCATGCCCAGGCTCAGCAGCACGCTCAGGTCATCCACCAGCAGCACCGGGGGCCTCCACGATGCCTCCTCGTCATCCCCAGGCTTCAGGGCCTCCCGCACAAAGGCATACAGTGGCCGCAGGTCCCCAGCACTGGCCTCCCTGGGGACACAGCATGAAAGTCACTGGCACTCCCTCTGCTGATGTTTACCTGTGACCAAGTGGTAGCACAGAACTGTACCACAGCCTTCGCAGTGTGGGACAGAAAAGCATGCACACGCAGGTGGACAGGCGCACCCCACACCGAGTGTTTGTTGAGGATGATGAGGTACAGAGCACTGTGCTGGAAACTGGGGGCCCTTAAGAGACATCACACAAGCTGGGCACAGTGGTGCGGCCCTGCAGGTCCAGCTACTCAGAAGGCTGAGGCAGAAGGATGGCAAGTTCAAGGCCAGCCTGGGCAACATAGCAAGACCCTCTCTAAAAAAGGAAAGAAAAAGAGAAAAGATTCCATATCGCCTCTCAATCCAAGAGCTACAGGGCCTGGGAGATTCACCAAGCTTTCTCAGACGGCCACATGCAGCTAAGAGTTGAGCAGCAATCCGGGCACCATGGTGGTTAGGGGCGGTGGTCTAAATGCTGCGTGGGTGTGTTCACATCTGACCTTTGGACACGTGCTGGTCCCCCTCCCTGTCTCCCCCAATGAACACCCCCAGCATTCATTTCCCAGCCAGAGGTGGAAGAACAGAGCACAGGGCCCAGGGCAACTGCCCTACTGCCTTGAGTGCCCCCAACACTGGCGAGGACAGCTCCTCACCCCTTGGCATCAGGTATCCCGAGCCCCTGCCTTCAGAGGACGAAGGCGGCGCGTGTCAGAGGTCACAGGGGGCTGGGGACACACCTTTGCAGCCACTGCACGGGGGCCTGTCAGAGAGGGGGAGGGAGAGCTCCCACATGGACTCCCCATGGTAGAGGAAGAACAGCAGCCAGGAATGGGACTGATGTTCAGAACGGACAGTAAGCTGAAAAGCCAATCTCAAACCTTTAAGGAAAGAGCCAGATAATAAATATTCCGGTGTGTGAGTCATATGGTCTTTGTCTGTCTCAACTACTCATTCTGCTGCTGTAAAGCAAAACAGCCGGAGACAATATGCAAACCAATGAAGGTGGCTGTGTTCCATTAAAACGATTTATAAAACAGGCAGCTGGCCCCTGGCTTAGTTGCTTAGAGGGGTGTGCTAGGGCTCTGAGCCAGGGCTGGAAAATAGCAAAGTGTATTATCGTCCACACTGCCAGCAAAGGAGCTTCCTCTAGCTTTGGAGACGACTGCACACCCTCAGGCCCTGATGGGAACCAGGGCTTCTGGATTCTACTACAACACAGGATGGGGGGACCCTGAGCCCTGCAGCCAGAAGAAGCTGCCCGGTGCCCGTGTCCACCCACCTTGCCAGGGGTGCGCGTCTGACCTGAGAAACTGCAGGGGCTGTGGCTCCGAAGGTGTCTGGAAGAAGATGTCCACGGAGGACTTGAGTGCCTCTAGGAACACGAGCTGCCCACGTTCCCGTGCCACGGTCAGGCTGATGCCCTAAACATGACAGAGGACAGGAAGTTCCCATGCCTCGTGGGCTCCTGCCAGGATGGCAGCTCACGAGAGGTACAAGGGGCATTGGACACCCTCCAAGGACAGACTGTCCACTCTGCAGACGCCCATGGGTGCTCCCCACCACAGTCCCACTCTGTTTCCAGACATGCACTTCCATTTCCTTGTCACATTTTTAAAATAACATTTTCTTTTGTTTCTATTTTATGTATGTATTTTCATGATTATCCAATATTGGGTATTACTGGATAAATAATTATCCAATGTTTTAGGCATTAATGGGGGATCATTTTTGTGGTGCTAGAGATCTTACTGGTATGACCTAACTGTAGTTCAGACAGCCTGACAGTTGCAGGCCACGAATTCTACTCTTTTTAAAACTTCAGAGCTGCCCTGAAGGCGCGTGCTCTGAATCAGGAGAAAGGGCCAGGCAAAGCCACAAGTCTGCTGCCCTTGCATTTCCCAGACTTCAACCACTGTTGTATTATTTACTTTTTACTGATTTTTTGGTTTTTTTTTTTTTTTTCTTTTTCTTTGAGACAGGGTCTCACTATGCAGTTCAGGCTTGCCTTAAACTTACTATGAACCCCAGGCTGGTCTCGGACTTACAGCGGTCTTCCTGCCTCACCCTTCCAAGTGCTGAGGTTACAGGTGTCTACCATTATGCCTGGTTTTTGTTTTGGTTTTTTTTTTTTTTGGTATCGGGGATCGAACTTGGGTCCTTGCACTTGCGCAGCAGGCGGCGAAACCACTGAGCTAAATCCCCAGCCCTTGCCTGGTTTTTAAAAAACATTTTATTACTGATTTTAAATGTACTTAATTTTATAAATACATGCATTTTAAAAATGACATTTTATATTACTACTGTAAATTAAAAACCAGTAATTGAGGGCTGGAGTGTAGCTCAGTTGATTAAATCTCCCAGCACCATCAAAAAAACGAGATAGACTCCTGGGCCTGACTTCAGGTTTCCAGAGTAAGGGCAGGGCCCAGGATCTGCATTTTGGCACTCATGAACCCTAAATCTGCACCCCATGCTTTCACTGTGCAGAGATAGCTCACGAGGAACTCTTCAGACTTGCCACGCACCCAGGCCTGGTCTCAGCTGCCATTCCACACTCCAGCACCCTGGGCCCTTGCCACCCAATACTGTTTGGTCCAACAGCTGCCCGGGTAGATGAGCCCCCTGCGCTCACTCACACCCAGCCTCCTCATGTGAGCGCAGTAACGAGCCAGGAGCACAGATGCCCACGCCTGAGCTTCACACGCCAATGTGCTGTTCCTGGGGTGGTGATGACCCAAAGGAGAAAGAAAAAGCGGCCAGGGCCAGGGATTTAGCTCAGTGGTTCCGACGCCTGCCTCGAAAGCACAAGGTCCTGAGTTCCATCCCTGGTACCAAAAAAAAAAAAGCACCCAATCTGCACATGAGCATACACAGCTTTTGTCACCAAGAGACACACAGGCCAGGGCCACCCGCACGCGTCAGAGACGTGGAATGCAACATGTGTTCCTGAGCCCAGCCCTGAACGCCACAGGAACGTCTTCCTTCTCTGCAAAGGGTGGGAAAGAGGGAACTCTTCTCTCCCCAGCACAGAAGAGGCAGTAGAGTAAAATGGCAGTGACAGTAGGACTGCAGTGTAAAGATTACTGCTGGGGCTGGGTGTGCGGCTCAGTGGTAAAACATTTGCCTAGAAGGCACCAGGTCCTGTGTTTGAACCGTAGCGCTGCAGGAAAAATAAGCACTCCTGATCGGTGACCCAGTTCTCTCTCTCTCTGAGGCTTGCACATCTGCTCCCCAACCCCCCAAAGCCTGTGTCCTTTGCGCTCCCATTCTCAGGCAGTTAAGTACACCAGGGCACAGGGCACAGGTCATGTCCCTGGTTAGGTGAGCAGGTTCACTGGTCTCCGCTATCTTATTCTCATCTTCCCACACCTGATGAGATGAGGGTCCAGCAAGGTGAGGCAGGGGACAGGCAACAATAAATAGTGCCTCTGCCCACAGTGAGGTCTCAAGCCCTAGGGCAGTGATGGCGACTCTTTTAAGCCTGAGTGCCTAAACTGCAACCCAAAACCCACTTATTTATTAAAGTACCAACACTGCAATTAACCCTGAACCCTGAGGTTTTAGATTAGAAAAAACAACTCATACATGGACATCTTTTATCTTAAAAGAAAAACAACATGTGTGCCCCAGGTTCCCCACCACAGCCCTAGCCCTAGGGACACAGTGGGAAACCCCGACCTAGCAAGAGACTAAGCTGTGACTTCCACCCCAGCAAACCATGCAAAAGCCCACACCGACAAGGACATAACCTGGACACAACCTCCAGAGCCAGTAGAGCAAGGTTTGATTAACTGACACCCACAAACAACACATCCGGTTTTATAAACTCTCAATTAATAAACCATGCTGATTTGCTACCTTAGCCCTGTAGATGAGGGGTTCAGGGTCCCAAGATTTCCTTAGCCTCTCCTTCGCCAAGTTCTCTACAACCCAAACAGGAGAGGCCAGCCTCACATGGGCCTGCCACATGCTCTCACTCAGCGACCTCGCCATGGAGGTCAGAAATACTTACTAGCTTCTGTCCCACGATGTTGTAGTGACTGAAGGACTGGACGAGGGCCACAAAGCAGACTTTACAATTAGCTAGAAGACAGAATAGATTGGTTGTTACACAGCCTGTGCTCACAGCCTCCAAGAACAAAGGCGCTGAGGCAGACTGAACACCCAGAGGCCCTGCAGGCCGACAAATCAAATCTGCTTCTAAGACACACCTTTTCTCAGATTTAAATTATGCCACTAGGCATGGTGGTGCACACCTGTAATCTCAGCACTCTGGACACCGAGGAAAGAAGACACAAGTTCAAACCCAGCCTGGGCAACTTAGAGAGACCCTATCTTAAAATAAAAAATAAAAAAGGGATCAGGATTCGGTTCAGAGTGAAGGCTCTGCATTCAGGTCCCAATACCAAAAAGAACTCCAAAATGTATGCCTTATTTTGTTGATTCTGAGATGCACTTCTCTGGATATATTACTAGGTATTTAATTCTGCTTTATTATAAAGTGTGTCTTTTTTCAATTATTGTCGTGTCGTCCCTGTCCGTGTTCCCCCCACCACCACCCTGGTTCCAGGGATCGAACTCATGACCTTCCACTTGCAAGGCAGGTGTGGTGCTACTGAGCTAAACCCCCGGCCCTCAATTATTGTTTCTGTATACTACTGGTATACAAGAATACAATTCAGGGCCCGGGATTTAGCTCAGTGGTTTCACCGCCTGATGCACAAGTGCAAGGACCCGAGTTCGATCCCCGGTACCAAAAAAAAAAATTAGTTTTATAGGAGCCAGGTGTGGTGAGGAGAGTGAGGCAGGAGGATTTCCACAAGTTTGAGGCCGGCCTGGGCTACACAGGGAGTGCAAGGCCAGCCTGAACTATGTAGAGAGACCCTATCTCAAAAAACAAAACAGAAAACATTATTTATATATCCCGCAGAAAATAAAGGAAGTACAAAGAAACTCCAGTTTGGGCCGGGGATTTAGCTCAGTGGTTTCGCCGCCCGCTGTGCAAGCACAAGGACACGAGTTCGATCCCCGGTACCAACAAAAAGAAAAGAAAAAAAAAAAAGAAACTCCAGTTACCCGACCAAATCTTTTTCATTCCAATAGTGTATCTGCAGATTCTCTTGCTTTTTCTACGCTGACAATAACATCATCTGAAAATTACTTTCAAAACTATAAAATTAAACTTAGTATTGTGATGCATGCCTGTAATCCCAGCACTTGGGAGGCTGAGGCAGGAGGATTATAAATTCACGCTGTTACCACTTTCATGCTGTGTGACCTTAAGCAAGTGCCTAATTTCTCTGGGCTTGTTTTTTAATTTATAAAACATGTACACTGTCACACCTGGAGGGTACTGTTCCCCACTGGTGTCATTTCCTGGTAGCCAATCAACCCTCCATTCCTTCTAGCCCTAGCAAGGCTAAAAAAAACTGTCTCAAAACTACGAAACAAAAATAAACAATAAATAAAAGCTGCAAGTTATTATAACTATGAGCACTACAGGTCTACTTTGTACCTTGGCCTGGCATAGCACATACTCAAGGAGAACCCACTGATAAAGGAGACTCTTCTGCTTTTGACTCTCTTTTTCTATTTTCAGGTATAAACTGCAGGGGCCATATTCCTTAGGGAGCATCCACATCACGGCCAACTGTCATGGGGGTTAAGTGTCCAGAGACTTCAACATCCACAAAGACTTAGGAGCCACTAAATGAGGAGCTACTGGAGGACCTTGGTGAGGTAGTTAGTGCCTGCCCATCAGGTACAGAAGGAGAAGGCAGGAAGTGGGCACAGACAGCACATGCCACACTGCAGGGCTGACAGGGCATGAGATGCCGCCAGTGCTCTGTTACCTAATAGAACAGCTTCTTGGCTGCTCAAATCCAAACTCCTCTTAGGAAATAAATGCCTTGCCACTGCTGCCTCAAACAGGCCGTGGGTTTTTTTCTTTCCTTTTTTTTTTTTTGCATTGGGTTTCTTTTTCTACATCGATGAATCCCATACCTTTGAGGTAGAAAGAAAGAAAGTGGTGCACAAGGAAACTGCCATCTGTCTTGGCATCACAGAGTAGAGTCAGTTTCCCCTAAAAGAAAAACACAAAAAGCTGAATTTGACTCCCTAAAAAGAGGTTGACGCTGTGTAAAAATCAATTGTGTCTGCTGCTAAATTTCTACACCTGGAGAGCGTAGGAATATGCTAAATTTACCCAAGAATGAAAAAAAAAAAACAAAGCAAAATTATTTTTTAATACTATGATTAAAGTTATCAGTGTTTCTACTCATGACGTACAAGCTTATCTCAGCCTCCACTTTCTCAAGGCAAAACAGACCGCTTCTCTTTCCCTTTCTCACCTCAGTAACTCAGGAGCCAATCTCCGGGAGAATTAGATCCTGAACCAAAGATGCTTTTACCATCAGGCTCCAGTGAAAGCCACAGACTGCCAGGATCGGAAGGGACTTTCAGAAGGGTTTTCCGACCTAACTTCCTTCCTAATTCTCAGGCCAATTCTGTCCTACATGGGGGGCGGGGGGGGGGGGATCCGGGGGTCAGGAAGAAGTTGTTAAGAGAGATCTCCAGTAAGAGTTCTCCGGATGACCCAGTTTAGGCAAGCGCCTAACTTCTCTGGGCTTCTGTTGTTTCTCCTTCCTTACTTATAAAATAGGAAAGATCAAGCTGGGCAGGGTAGTGCATGCCTGTAATCCCAGCACTCTGGAAGACCGAGGCTGGAGGATCCCAAGTTCCGACTCAGCAAGACCCTGACTCAAAAAATTTAAAAAGGACTGGGGATAAGGCTCAGTGTAAAGGCCGTGGGTTCAATCCCGAGTGGTGAAAATAAAAGATCAGCTCACCCTGGCACACCTTGAGCCTGCTGTGCCCCGGCGGATTTTTGGGTCATTGCTTGGTACCCACTCCAGTCCTCCATTCCCTCTGGTCTCATTAACTGGCAAGGTAACCAGAGTCATCTGAAGGATTGGAGAACTACTGGGCAATTAAAATACTCAAGAATCTACTGAAAGCTACAATCTGCCTGGCACTAGGAAAGGCAGTTCACACTGCCTAAAGAAGCCCACCTTTTCATTACAAGACAAAAGTGATGGACTAAGCCAGAGATGTTCCTGGAAGAGATAACTTCTGCATTACTTAAAATGTGACCGATGTCAGGTGCACGGAGTGCGAGAGGAGGGTGAAGAAAAGTGCCCAGGCTGTGTGTGGTGCATGCTGGCCGCGCGCAGCTCTGAACACCAGTATGGGACGCCGCGGGGGACTCGGGGCGGGGAAGGAGCTGGCCCCAGGAGGATGGCGGCTGATCCAATTCTCTCCTTCTGGACCTGTTCCGCAGCCTCCTCCCGACGCAGGGGCTCCAGGGTGCAACACAGGGCTCCCCGGCTCATGTCTCTGACTGTAAGACAAGCTAACTGTTCGACGAGCTTCCTGAGGCCTTTTAAGGGCACGCACGGCCTTTGAGAAGACGTAAGGCCGCCTGGCACCTTCTACCCCGGGCCCGGCCCGAGTCGCGTCTCCGTCCCAGACAACAGAAGCTCGCGCCGCCGTACTCTCCCGCCAGCCCCTGCCCGCTGCTTCCCGGATGTGCCTCCCGCCTCGCTCCCGGGACCCGCCCCCTTCCCGCGCGACAGTTTACCTGTTCCGCCTTATCAGGAGTGGTGTTGAGAAGGTTATTGAGTTCCGGGAACATTTCGGACTCCAGGGAAATAAGCGCGGTGGAAATGAAGGTGGTCTGCTTCAGGGCTAACTTCCCTCGCCACCAGATTCGCCTCACGGAGCGCGCATGCGCAACTCCACTTACAGAAACCGGCCGCAGCCAATCAGGCGGGAATTACGGCGCACGCGTGTGAGTGCGCGTGAGCACACGTTAGGGGCGGAGATCCGCGGTGGTGCTGATCGAGTGTCTTGCCTGGTGACTCCTGAATCCTCGCGTGGTCGAGTCTTTTCCTTCTGTTGGCATCGCTCTCCACTTGTGGCTTTCAAGCGCCTGCTGTGTGCCTCACAGTGTTAGGAGCTTGGGCTTTTTCTCTGGACATGGGGCGAAGATTCCTGCTCTCACGAAAAGCAAAAACGAACATAATGAACACTAAACACGGCCACAATGGAGAAAAGCAAAAGCAGAAGCAGGAGGAGGGATGGGAAAAGGGATAGGTTGCAGAGTTACAGAAATACCCGGACAGGCCTCAAAAAAATTATGATCGAAAAACGCCCTGTCTGCCTCACCCCTGGGCCTTTGCACTTAATTCCTTCTTCTTAAAACGCTTTTACCATATACTCTCAGTTAGAAACTCCCCACTTTCCTCAGGTCTTTGTTCAGATGTCATTTAATCAGAGGCATTCTCTGAGCAACTTATTTCAATCTCAAACTTCCATTTCTTTGGTGGGTTTTGTTTTGTTTTTGAGGTAGAGTCTCTGTATGAAGTCCAGCCTGGCCTTGAACTCACTGCATAGCCCAGGCTGGCCTCGAGCTGATGATCCTCCTGCCTCAGCCTCTGGAGGGCTGGGATTATAGGTGTGCACCACCAGTCACAACTGTTCCTTTTTCCCTTTTTTTTCGGTACCTGGGAACTCAGGACCTTGCGCTTGCCAGGCAGGCACAGTGCCACTGAGCTACATCCCCGGCCCTCCTTTTTCAACACTACATTTTCTTTGCTTTTATTCTTATCATAATGTAGTTTTGTTCCTGCTCAGTCAGCCCAAGCTCACCAGAGACGAAATCTGTAATTTCATCAAAGTCAAATTTGTTGATTCATTTCAGTGAAGGACATAGCACACCAGTGAGTGGAGCTTAGGGCTTGTCTCTGAAGAAATAAAGTTGTTCCAGGATAAAATTGAAATGAAGGACTGTTTCTGTAGGCTCAAAACAAAACACAGCTGGGCGGGGGATTTAGCTCAGTGGTTTCACCACCTGCTGAGCAAGCGCAAGGACCCAAGTTCGATCTCCGATCTCCGGTACCAAACAAAACAAAACAAAACACAGCTGCTGGGTGTGGTGGCGCAGGCCTATGATCCCAGCACTGGGAGGCGGAGTGGAGTGAAGAATCCAGCCTAAGGCCTCTAGTGAGACCCTGCCTCAAACAAACAACAAAAAAAAGAAAGTTCAGCTGTATGTAAAGGGATCAATATCTAACCTGTAAAGTGTGCTGTTTCTATGGAACCTGCAAAGGTTAAAATAGGCAGATGTGGAATGAAATCATTTATCTGAAGCTCTGCGCCCAGAATGAAAATCAAGGCTGCCTCTCTGTGTCAAAGTGATTTAGATCCCCCAGGCTGCACTGGGATGTTTCATTCTTACGGACAAGTGAGAAAGAGGAAGTGGGCACTGGCTTCTGGAAGCTGACCTGGTGTTCTCCTGTTGGGCATGAACAGTTTCAAAATACATCAACACCAGACTGACTGTAATGGACCAAGACAAAACTAGGCCACTCCATAATCGTGTTGAACACAAAACATTTGCAGTATCCAAGCCCCAAACTACCAAACATCCCCTTTCCCAGCTAGCGAGACTCTATTTCCTTTGGTGGGGGTCAGTACGAAGAATTGAACCCAAGGCCTTGCACTGAGCTGCATCCCCAGCCCTTTAAAAAAATTTTTTTTGGCCCGGGGATTTAGCTCAGTGGTTCCGGAGCCTGCCTCGCAAGCGCAAGGTCCCGAGTTCAATCCCTGACACGCACACACACACAAAAAGTGAACATTAAAAAAATTTTTTTTAAATTTTGAGACAAAGTCTCACTGAGTTACTAAGTTTCCCAAGCTTTGAATTGGGTTTCAATTTGTGATCCTCCTGCTTCAGCCTCTAGGATCCTCCTACCTCAGCCTCCCAAGTGCTGGGATTACAAGTATGTGCCACCCCTCCCAGATTCCAGGTCCGTTTTGATCTACAGGCCTTCATTGTGTCCATTTTCTTTCTTTTCTTTTTTTTTTTTTGATGTCCATTTTCTTTCCAGTAGATGGGCCTCTGGCTCCATTCTCTTCCTTCCCTGGCAGGAACTCTTGACTGTACCCTTGAACTCAGAACTCTCTGTCAGGCTCCTCCAGTCACTCCGTGTCATTGGCCTCTGGGAGCAGCACCTGCCCCACAGCTCCCAGCCCTGATGCTTCCTTCAGCCCCACTTCTGGATGCTGGCAACCATCACTTGGAAAAGCGTCACAGGGCCCTACTGGGCCCGCTCTGCAATCTGCTATATCAACACCATATGTTTGCCTTCCTGTCTCTGGATTGATGAGTTATTTTCTCCTGAGTGTTGCCTATCACCTCTGCCATCTGTGACAAGAGTTTTCATAGCCTGGTATTGAGGCTGAGCCCACAGAACTCGCAGACTTCTGGCAAAGGAAAAACAGATGGCGGGAGGTTGGGTTTTCTCCTGATGCCCACCAGGGGGCAGCAGGCCCTGGCGAATGCTGCCGGAATCCCCAGTGCTGGCTCGCCAGAGGCCAGGCAGGCCCTGGGGCAGAGTGTCCTAGGCCACCAGGGCAGAACCTGCAGCCCTGGCCCAAGCTAACCCCTACCTCCCCTCTGAGGAAGCCCTGCGCTCTCCTTGCCCAGATGTTCCCTCCATCCCAGACTAAAAGTCAGGGTTCTCACAGGGCCAAGTGGAGCCAGCTGCTGTGAGCACCTGTCCTGTCCTCGCCTGTCCACTCTGTCAGGCAGGGAGTTGGACACCGCTGGGCCTGAGGGACAAGGGGGGTCCCCAAAATAGCAAGCGTTGCCAAATGGGTAAAGAAACAAAGACATCAGTGTCTAATACATTTAAATCCCTTCATAGGTCTCAGACCCAAAGCGATCCACAGGCCACAGTGACATCGTAAGGTGACACATGGCACACGTTCCTCTGACACTGGCAGACCATCTGACTCCAGAACAAGGCACAGGCGTCCCTGGCCACCACAGGCCCCAGCCCACGGATATCAGGAAGGAGGTGTTCTTTACAGACCCTCCTGCCTTGAGCAGGCCGGTTAGATTCAGAACTTATCTTTTGTGGGTTTTTTATGTGATTAAAGCCCCTCAGAAAACACTGACCACTTAAAAGGATCGAAGACCTTTTGCAGCTCCTTAGTAACCGCTGAGTAAAATGTCGATAAGGATCATTCATCATCGTAATTCCCTGGACCCCAGGAGTCACTTTTGTGAGCATAAAAAGCTGTGGAAATTCACACTCAGGACAGATGTCTTTGTGGCACTGCCTGCCTTCTCTCTGGGAGAGGTAACCCTCTCTGTATCCACTTTACAAGAAGCTCTACCTATACTCCTGCATGGCCTATGTGATTGATTGATTGATTGATTGATGTTTTGAGGCAGGGTCTCACTATTCAGTTCAGCCTGGGCTTGAACTCACTATGCAGCCCAGGCTGGCCTCAAACTCACAGCAATCCTCCTGCCTCAGCCTGCTGAGTGCTGGGATTCCAAGTGTGCACCACTACACCTGGCGGCCTGTGTATTTTGACTGAATTCCTTCATCCAAGGCACAAAGAACTGAGGGTGAAGAAAGGGAGGGCCTAATTCCTTGCTGGGTCAGGACCTGGTTTCCCTGTGACCTCAGACTTGGACCTCAGATGCCACCACACATCCCTGTGCATCTGCTCCAGCTGCCTGTGAGACCCTCCCAGATGTTTGCGGCCCCCACTTCCTCCACCTCCTTCGGTCCCTACTCTACTAGGCCTTCCAGCTCTTGGTTCCTCCAGGGTCAAATCTGCCTCCTGTGGCCCTCACCTGAGCCCACACCCTCCCAGGCGCCCTTGAGGGAACTGCACCTGTCTCGCTGAAGGACACTGGCCGATGGCCTGAGCTCCAGAGTGCACTCAGGTTTACTGAGTCCCCATCACCGTTCAAGGCCACGTCCTTGCCCTGGCCAGTCTTGCTTGTCTTCCTTCCTTTCATGAGTGTTTATCCCAAACTCTTGAAGCCGGGCTCAGTGGCGCGCACACACACACACCTGTGATCCCAGCACTCAGGAGGCTGAGGTAAGCGAGGCACAAATTCAAGCCCAGCCTGGGCAACTTAGTGATTTAGTGAGACCCTGTCTCAAAATTTAAAAATGGCTGGGGATGTAGCTCAGAGTGAAGGCCCTGGGTTCAATTTCTAGTACCAAAAAGCAAAACAAGAAAGGTCTACCCCAGTAGTGCTGATGCCTGCATCCCTAGACACCCCAACATTGGAGAAGCCTCAGGGATCACGAAACTCACACTTGAGGTGAGGGCTGAGCACACAGGGAATGAGGGTCAAGGGGCCGGTGAGGTGGTGTCCCCAGAGGGAGCCATGCACTGCGAGGAGGAGGCGGGACTGATGAGGGGGTCCCCAGTGCCCGAATCAGTCAGATTTCCTCACTGTGGCAAAATCTTGAAGAAAATCAGTGTGAAGGAGGAAAGATGTTTGTTTGGGCCATGGTCAGTGACTGCGTTGCTTTGGTGAGGCAGAAACATCAAGGTGGGGAGCAAAGCTGCTCAACCCACGGCAGCCAGGAAGCAGAGAGAGAGAGAGAGAGGAGGCCATGATCCCAGCGCTTCCATCAAGGACCCCCAAAGATGCGCCTCTTCCATCTGGGCCACCCTCATGTTTCTGTGGCTTCCCAATAGTGGCATGGGCTGTGGGCCAAGCTTTCAATCTGTGACCATTTGGGGGACATTTAAGGTCCACTGGAGTGAGGTGTGGTGGCACAGGTCTGTAATCCCAGCACTGGGTTCGTTCTTCAGGACTGAAGGGAAAAAATCCCACTTGTAAGGGCACCCTCTAGCTCTGGGAGGCTTGCTGACCTCTGATCCGAGTCCGAGCCCCAGCCCAGGGTGGATGTGCCTTCCCCAGCCCCTCTCGGGGGCCCCTGCCTGGACT